TATATATATATATATATATATATATATATATAAGTTTGGTTCCTTCTTCGACGTAAGCTTGGTTATTTGCCTATGTTTTGTTGCTGCAGTGCATATTTGTGTGCAAATGGAGCTAGCGTTGTACCGCTAGCTCCATTTGTGCGTGTGTTGGCTCCTTAACTAGCAGGCAGCTGCGGAGGGTGGGTTGGTGTATGTGCAGCGTGCGCTGTCCTTACACCTCGAAGGACGCTTCTGGCGTCTCTTTGGCCTCCGCCGATGTCCCCCAGGCCCACAGACGTTGCCCCCTTCTTTAGTGTTATCCATTTGGGCTGCTCGCGGGGTCAAACATAACGGCTCTTACAGACTTGAAGTCGAGTGCGGAGCTGCATCCCCGAGACACAGCAACTGGGCAGAGGGTACATTCCTCCTGCCGTTCCTGCTGGTGCTGGTGCTGCTGCTGCTGATACTGCTGCTAATACTGCTGCTGGCAGATGGGGTTGACGCGGTTGGGGCTGACTGGAAGTGCTGCTGGAGCATTCTGCTGGTGCTGCTGCTGCCTGCCTGCTGCTGAGTCAGCATGCACTACAGCATGCTGTTGAAGCGCCTGCTCTACTTGCATGCTGCTGCTCGGGATCTTGTTGCAGCTGCAGCTACAGCAGCACCTCCCGCTGCCGTTGCAGTTGAAGTGTACAGCAAACGTGACTTTAGGGAGGCGTGCTGCACTCTCTGCTGCAGCAGCTGCTGTCTGGCAGGCTTGATTATTCACCACATGCGTTGCTGCTGCTGGGCATTTGCAGGGACAAAGGCTCTTGTGCCACTGCAGTTCACTTGTGGTCTCCTCGGAGTGTCTCCAAGGGAACAGCTAAAGTTTTCCTTGTGGAGGAGGAGGCTCGTGGTCAGTCTTCGACGCTGCTGCTGCTGCTGTTGCTGCTGCTCTCATTACTTCTGCTGCTGCTTCTGCTGCTGGTTTTGTTACTTGTCATTTTGCTTCACCCCAGGGTTTAAGATTTAGGGTTTAGGTTTGTGTGCAGCAAGACGACAAGTGCGTGGGTGTTGCCTACATGGCCTGCTGTCTCATTCCTCATGAGGTGACGAGTGTCTGCCGTTTGCCTTTGGAGCACAAGTCGAGGAAGAGTGGGATTTTAGTTGTTGAGGCCTTCCGGTTTCTCCCCAGGATCCCTGCTGCTGCTGCTGCCGCTGCTGCTGCCGTTGCGGCGGCAGCTGCAGCTACCGCAGCCGATGCTGAGCCCGGGGCAGATGCTGATGCTGCTCCTCCTCCTGCTGCACTTGCGGTGGAAGAGGAACAACTGAGGCGACAATGGCAGCAAGGACCTGAAGGAAGCCACAAAACGCTCCCAGGGCAAACGCCGAAGCGGCCAGCAGCAAAAGCAGAAGCAGCAACAAGAGCTGCTGCTTCTGATGGGCCGCAACAGCAGCAGCAGGCAGACACACCCGTTGCAGCGAATCAGGAGACTGGCAGCAGCAGCCTCTTTGTGGATCTCCTTGACCTATTTGACCCTGCGGAAGAGCGCCAACAGCAGCAGCAACGGCAGCAGGAGCAACAACAGCAGCAGAAACAGCAACAGCAATCCGACCAGGAGCAATTGCTTCCACGGGGTACTCGAACTCTCGCCGCTCCTAATGGCGAGGGTGTTAACGAGCTGCTGCTGCTAGAGCGATCACTGCAGCAGCAGCTGCCGCTTCGGGAACAGCAACAGCAACAGCAGCCGCAACAGCAACCCGCACCTGCAGAGCAACAGGAGAAACGTGAAGAATTGCCCCTTCACAGCCGTGAGGAAGTGCAGGAACTGCCGTCAGTGGAGCAGCAGCAGCAGCCTTCCATGGTGCAACAACAGCAACCAGGCAAGCCGCTAGCGTCACCCCCTCAAAATGAGCAGCAACAACAGCAACAGCAGGAACAACAACAACAGCGGGAGCAGCAACAGAGGCAACACCAACAAGAGAAGCAGCAGCAACAGCAGCAACAGCGTCGTTCCTATGCAGCTCTAGATGCCCTCTTTTACGCAGACGTGGCGGCTCACTGCAGAGACCCCGCAACAGCAGCAGCAGCACGATCAGCTGCTGCAGCAGCAGCTGCTGCTGCTGAGTTGCCCTCTTCTGTAGGGCAGGAGTTGATGCAGAAGATAACGCAATCGCTGCCAGAGTTGCAGCAGCTGCAGCAGCAGTTGCAGCAGGAAGCCCAGCAACAGGAAATGGCAGGTGGAGCCGCTGCACCAGCATACAAGGAGCAGCAGCAACAGCTGCAGCCTGTGGAATCCACCGGCGCTACAGATGATGCTGCATCCCCTGCAGCAGACCAGCTTCCGCCTGCTTGTGTTGCGGCAGCTGGACCGAATAGAGCTGCAGTTACGCCTGGTGGAGGGCCAGAATATCTGCAGGGAGGCGTCCGTTCCGCAGGGCAGCAGCAAGAGCAGGATGAAAGCGGGAGTGCGAGCGCAGCAGCAACAGCAGCAGCTGCACCGACAGCAGCTGCAGCATCGACCCCATCTGCAACAGCAGCACCAACATCATATACTGGAGGCATGTCGGCAGAACCGCTTATCGGGGTTTTCCCTAAAGAGCCTTCCCCTGCAGCTGCTCCTCCTACACCTGTTCGTACTGCAGGGGTTCCCATTGTTGCTGCTCCCGCTGCTGCACGAGCTGTTCATCTTTCTGCAAGCAGCAAGGCAACTAGTGCAGCTTCTCCAGAAACTACTCGTGGTCTTGCAGATGCAGCAGCAACAGCAGCAACAGCAGCTGTTTCTGCTGCTGCTGCTGTTCCACAAGACGTTTTGCCGGCTATAACAGTAGCCGCACCTCACGATGCTTCTCCTAGCACTGCTCCTCCAGCTCCTGCGGCTGCAGTTGCTCGTACTGTTGCAGTTGCTCCTTCAGCGGTAGCTGCTCCTGAGTTTGCTCTTACTCCTGCAGCAGCTGCTCGTGCTACAGGTGCTGCTGCTCCTGCTGCTGCCGGAGTGAAGGCGTCCAGTAGAGGCGGAGTGCGTGTGTTCTCGGACGAGGGGAATGATGCGAGCCGACTGCAGCAACAGACGCAAAATTGTGAGCGGCCGCGGCAGCAGCGGCAGCAGCAGGAACACCACGCGCCTCAGTGGCCAGCAGGACGAGGCGTTGGTATTGCGGCGCCAGCAGCAGCAGGATCAACAGCACCTCCAGCAGCAGCAGATACAGCTACAGCAGCAGAAGGGGGCGACTGGCCACCACCTCGTAGGCCAACAGGGTGGCTCCCCACACCTCCAGTTGGGAATTTTGTGTTCAAGCAGCAGCAGCTGCTGCGTCAGCAGCAGCAGCAACATCATCCCCACCAGCAGCACCATGCTTCTCCCTTATCGCAACCAGCGGACGCCCAACCACAGCAGCTACAACAGCCGCCACAGCTGCAACAACAGCAACCGCAGCAGCCGCAGCCACCCGGAGTCCTCTTTCCAGCAGCCGATGAGCACCAGCAGCTGATTCCACACCAGCAGTTCCATCTACAACAGTCGCAGCAGCAGATGCTGCCGCCGCAGCAGCAGATGCCGCCGCATCAGCAGATGCTGCCGCAGCAGCAGAGCTTTCCCCAACCGATGTGGCCACAGCAGGCGCACCAGCTGCAAATCCCACAGCCGCAGGCGCTTCCGCAGCAGATGCAGCCGCAGCAACAACAGCAGCAACAGTCACAGCGGCAACAGATCACGAAGAAATTTTTCAGTGTCTTTAGTCCATTCCCTGAAAAGCAGCGGCGAGCGCCTTCACCCACTGAGACCGAGGAGTCAACCCTGTATGCGGAGCAGCAGCAGCAACAGAAACAGCAGCCACCACTGCAGCACGAGCACTTGACACCTCGCCAACCTCCATCACACCAGCAGATACAGCAGCAGCAACCGCAGCCGCAGCAGCAGCAACCGCAGCGGCAGCCGACTCCGGATGCCGAGAAGAAGCGGAGTCTCTTCAGTCTCCCCTTCCGGCTACGTCGTGGTGCTGGAGGCAGCAATACCAGCAACAGTGCTGCTGCTGTACCGACGGCAGCAAAAGCTGGTGCATCTGCTGCTGCAGATGGACAAGCCTCCGAGAGAGCCAGAGGAGGAGAGGCGGCAGACGACCGAGAGCATCAGCTGGGAATGCAGCAGTCGACTCCTTATTGTTCCTTTGGAGCTCACAGGGAAAATACAGAAGAAACAGAAGCTGCAGAAGCAGCAGCAGAATCATCGTCAACCGCCACGGATTTTGCTGGAGGCAGTCCTCGTCCATCGTTGCAATGCTTTCCTGTGGAGTTCCCAGAGTCTGCCCCTGCAGTTTCACCGGCGGCAGCAAAGGGGAAGCCTGCTGCTGCTGTAGCTGCTCCGCAGTTTCCAGCTGCAGCAGATGACGACGACCCTTTCAAGTTTCAGTTCAAATCTCCCATGTCTGCAGCAGCAGCAACAGCAGCAGCTCCGGCTGTCCGTTCACCTCCGCAGCACGGCCACACATGGTCGGCCCCCCTGAGGCTCCCCGACGAGCCGCCGGGAGAAGAAGAGGATGAACTGCGGCAGCAGGAGCAGCAAGGGGAACGGGAGAGTGACTCTTGGTGGGTACTCCCAGAACGCGAGACAGCTGAAGTGCCTGAGAGGAAAGCAAGCAAAGGGGAGAAGCAAAAGAAGCAGCAGCATGACCGCCTGCAGCAGCAGCCACAGCATAAGCAGCAGCAGCAACGGGGAAGTACGCAGCAGCAGCAGGAGCATCAGCAGCACCAGAGTCTTCCTAGGAATGATGAGCGGGAACTCAAAGTGTCTAAACAGCATTCTGTCTCCTTATCCCCCTTGCCATCTCTACGTGCCTCTGAGGGGCCCCAGAGCTCTCGATTGTCTTCGTATAAAATAATTGCAGCAGCTGCTGCAGTTGATGGTGCTGCAACAGCTGATGGTGCTGCAGTAGCTGATGGTGCTACAGTAGCTGATGGTGTTGCAGTAGCTGATGGTGCTGCAGTAGCTGATGGTGCTGCAGTAACTGATGGTGCTGCAGTAACTGATGGTGCTGCAGCACCAAATGGTGCTGCAGCACCAGATGGTGCTACAGCAGCCAATGCTGATGCTTCATCTGATGGTGCAGCTGATGTTGATGCTGCAGCTGATGCTGCTGTGGAGCCTGCTGCGGCTGCTACACGAGGTGCTGCTGCAGCAAAGCATGGAAAGAAGAAGGACCAACAGCAGGCTTCACGCAAATCGAAACATCACAAGAAAAGTGCTGCTGCTGCAGTGGGACAAGACACACACGATGAGGGCTTCCCGCCTGGCTGGGGAGAGACCTGGTTGGAGGCTGAGGCAGCAACAGAAGAAGCAGGTATGGCAGCAGCAGCAGAGCAGCACCAGCAGCAACAGCACCACCACCAAATGATGTACTGGCCCACAGGCCTCTACTCCGGACTGCACAGCTCTTCTCCAAGCGCGGCAAGCGAGAAGAAGCAGCAGAAGCAGCAGCAGCGGGTGTTGGCAGCTATGCAGGCAGCTAACGCGCACAGCCCACTTCAGGGGAGTCACTACACTACCTGTCATTCAAAGCAGCAGCAGCAGCAGCAGCCACCTCATGTGCTGGAGTACGCTGGCCCGCAGCTGCAGTACACCCCTCAGCAACTACAGAATTTGCAATACCAGCGTCGACTCCAGATGCAACCGCAGCAGCTGCAGCAGCTGCACCAGCAGCAGCTGCACCAGCAGCTGCTGCAGCAGCAGCAGCTGCAACACCAGCAGCTGCAACACCAGCAGCTGCAACAGCAACAGCTGCAACAGCAGCAGCTGCAACAGCATCAGCTGCAACAGCAACAGCTGCAACAGCAACAGCTGCAACAGCAGCAGCTGCAACAGCAGAAGCTGGTGCCAGGACAGGCGCTTCTTTCAGGAAACACGCACCAGCCGTTGGCCTACGCGCCTCCACTGGGCGGCAGAATGGAAGAATCTCAACAATCGTGGATGATGGGGCCTCTGCAGCAGGCTGCTGCTCCAAGTACGCCGCAGCAACAACACCAGCAGCAATACCTGCAGCAGCAGCCGCAGCAAAGATTCCCACCACCTACGGACATACACCCTAACGCCTGTGAGCCACCGGAGCAGCCATACGCAGCTGGGATGATGTTGCTGAAGCAGAAGCAGCAGCAGCAGCAGCAGCAGCAGCAGCCGTTGCCAGACCCAAAGCGTGCCATGCAGCATCAGGACTTCCCGGCCCCTGGAGTTCCCCATGGAATGCTGGTTACTGCCCAGCAGCCAGTGCAGCAGCTGCAGCAACCACAGCCGCAGCTAGGGCAGCAGCAGTTGCAACAGCAAGAAATGGCGGTGCAGCAGCAGACGGAGCAGCAATTGCAACATTATTACCTGCAGGAGCAGCAAACTCGTCGCCAGCGACATAAACAGCAGCAGCAACTGATGCATCAACAGCTGCGCATGCAGCACTCCACGTATCCACAGTCACTAGTGCAGCAGCAGCAGCATTCCCAGCAGAACCCGGTTGACGCAGGGGAGCAACACGAGCACCGGTCTCGTCACAAGCATTCTCGTGTGCGTCCGCAGCAGCAGCCTTCGCTGCAACAGCAACTCCCACAGCAACAGCTGCAGCAGCCCTGGCAGCAGCAGCAGCAGCTGGCCGTGCACTTCCCACCGCTCGCAGTGATCCAGGGAGGCGCGCCTCCTGGGCAGCAGACGCTGCAGCAGCAGCAGCAGCAGCCCCACTATAAGCAGAGCCCCTGGGCCCAGCATTTGCATCTGGCCCCAGAAATGCACCAGCAGCAGCAGCTGCAGCTAGTGCATCAGCAACAGGAGCCTCTGCTTCAGCAGCAGCAGCACCTTCAGCAACAGCTGCAGCCACACCTGCAGCACCCGCTGGGAAGGCCCGTGGTTGTGAGTAGCGTTCATGCTCCCATGCAGCAACAACTTCATCTTCAGCAGCAGCAGCAACAGCAACACCAACAACAAGCGCAGGTGTCTTTTAGCCGCAATCCTTTTGCCCAGCCTCGCAGCAGCCGGTTGGCTACTGGTGCGTATGCAGGGGCTGCAGCGAGTCCCATTTAGTTGGTTTCTTTGGAGTCCGCTGCTTCGGATGCTGCTGCTGGCGGTGCTGCTGCTGGCTGATAATATGCATGAGTGTGGCTAGTCAGTTAGCTAACAAGCAAGCGCGGAAGCGGCAAGCGGACAGAGGCAGCAGCTGCAGCAACAGCTGCCTCTGTCGACGTACTGCTGTGGCGCTGCAGCTGCTGCATAGGCTTCTGCCTTTGTTGACTTGCTGCTGTGGCGCTGCCGCTGCTGCATTGGCTGCTGCCGCCGAAGCAGCACAAACTGTTCCAATAACAGGTATTGAAAGTCTCTACAGGTCGGCGATCTTGCCGTACACTGCAGCAGGAGAGCGACAGAAGCAGCAGCGAATAGCAGCAACAGAAGCAGCAAGTAGTAGTAGTAGTAGTAGTAGTAGTAGTAGTAGTAGTACATGCAGCTACAGAAAGAGCAGGGGATTTGAACAGCGAGGGAGACAGAATGGGCAAATAGAGACAAGCAAAATAGAGAAGGGCAGCAGTAGACTAGGGAACAAAAAGTTCTGCTGCTGCTAAGAGAACCCAAGAGGCAGCGAACAGCTGCTCTTGCATGCATGCACCATAGCAGACGCGTTGCTGTTGCTGCACAGGCTTCCGGTGCTGCGCTGCATTTGCTGCAGTAGGTACTGCTCGATTTCCTGCAGCAGCTGATGCATTTACTGCAGGAGGCGCTCTCTTCCATATGTTGCACCAGTCGTTGCTGCAGCAGCTGATGCATTTTCTTTAGCAGATACCGCTGCTGTTGCTGCGGTTGTTGTTGCTGTTGCTGCTGTTCAATAAGGTGTACTGTTGCGTGGTAGGAGGAGACGGCGGGGGTTGCCTCCAGAGAAGCAGAGCGCCTACTGTCAGCAAGCGCCACTGAGTCCCTGCAGGGCAGTTGGCAATGCTTTGTCGTCATCCTGCTGCAGCACATCGCAGCACCAGAAGCGCGGCAGCAGTAGCAGCAGCAGCACCAGCAGGTTTGTATGCGCAGCGACAGCTCTATAAAGAAGGGGAATAGTAGAAAAAAGACGCCAAACAACACACCTTCTCGTCATCGTCTCTGTCATGGGCTGCAACACCCTTACGGTCCCCTACTGCTGCTGCTGGTTCTGCTGCTGCTGCGGCTGCTGCATGTGCCTGTAACACCCTTGCTGCTGCTGCTGCATCCAAATTCTCTTCGTTCCGCCGCTGCAGCATTTGCTGCCGCAGCCGTGAAAACTCGGGGCTCAAATCGGACTGGCCCCCAGCAATGCCGTATATTGCAATCTGCAGCAGCAGCAACAACAACAGCAGCTGCAGAACCAGGTCCGTTCGTTTCTTTTGGAGCGTTGTGTGTGTCTCTGTTTTACAGCGTCCTTCTCCCTTGCCCCCGGCAGTTTTCACAGCTGCCTTGAACCGTTCCCGGCTCCAGCAGCAGCAACAGTAGCAAAGGCAGCAGCAACCGCAGGAGCAGCAGCAGCGCAGAGCGTACCTGTCCCTGGATTGCAACAAGTATAACTCCAGAAATTACAGCTTGAGCTTCTTCTTTTTCTTCCTCTTCTTCGTGCTGTTGGTCTTGCTGCTGTTGATGCTGCTGCTGCTTGGGAGCCCTGACCACGAAGGAGCTAATGATACTCTGTTTTGTCAGTTGCGCGTCTGTTGCTGCTGCTTCTGGTTGCATGCTGCTATGGTTCTTGTTCTGCTGCTGCTTCCGCTGAGGAGGAGGAGGAGCAGCGCAGCAAATATCTAAAGTCAGAGGCGGATGTTCTGCAGTCTCCAACCCAAACAGGTGGAAAGCGTTGCGGCTGCACGGGCAGTTGCTGCTGTTGCTGCTGCTGCTTGAGCTGGCTGCGCTTCCTGCGCCTGCGCTCTCGAGGCCACCTGGCAAAAAGTACGTCCTGTAGCAGCAATAGCAACACTAGCAACAGCAGCAGTAACAGTAGTAGCAGAAGCAGCAGCAGGTGTAAGAGCAGCAGCAACAACACACAAACACTCGAACACCCGGAAACGCAGCCTCAGTATCAGCATCAGCAAAGGAGGCTGGTAAACACGCCGGATGTCCTTTAGAGCAGAAGCAGCAGAGTTAGCTGCCATCAAGAAAGAGACAGAAAATAGACAAAACGAAGACAAAAACGGGACAAAAAGGGGGGGATAGCAGCACAAAGTAGTAGCAAAACAAACCGAATTTGATTTCTATTGCCGCCGCAGCAAGCAGCAACTGTCCCCTCAGGCAGCGCAGAGACACGGCAGCAATAAAACTGCGTCGTAAATGTCCCTTCATCGATTGGGACCTTCCCCACAATGCTGCTGCTGCTGCTGCTGTTGCTGCTGCTACTGCTGTCGCTGTCAGCAAGGAGTTGCGGCACAGCAGGCCGTACCGCCTCCTGGGGGTTCGCAGGACCGCAGCAGCAAGCGGTGTTGATATCAAGGACCTGTAGCACAAACACACGCATGCACACCTGTTGTCGCTGCTGCTACTACTGCTGCGTCCTATGGAAATTCAGAAAAGCTATTTCACAACACTCAGTACTACTGCGATCCGCATGCTGCTCCTAGCTCAACTGCTGCTACTGCTAGTGCTGGTGTTGCTGCTTCTGTTGTTGTTGTTGTTGCTGTTGTGTTTCACAACAAAAATAAGGTGAGCTCCGCCAGGGCGCGGGTGCCTACTGGGCAGCTGCCTTAAATCCTACCCCACAAACCCTAGCCACTAAGCACCAAACCCTAATCTCTAACCACTAAACCCTAATCTCTAAAAGGTAAACCCTAAACCCTGAGAAATGAGGGTTTTAACCTGAAGGGTTTCAAAGTCGGGAAGCCGCAAGACCATCAGCTGTCTGTCGTCACGGTGGGAAGCCACCAGAACTGCTGAAGGAGACAATAAAGCCACGGACTCCCTACAGCAGCAACAGCAGCAGCAACAGTAAGTGCAGGAGCAGCAGCAAGGGCACAAGGGGCAGTGGCACCTTACTTTGAACTATGTGTGCCCAAGCAGATGGCAGAACCAACGTGATCGACAGTAGTAGCAGTAGTAGTAGCACGTGTAGCAGTAGCAGCAGCAAGTGCAGGAGCAGCAGCAGGCGCAACAGCGGGAGTGGGAGCTGACCCTAGAGGGGAGCACTCGGCTGTTCCTCCTACAGCCAGTTGTTTTTCTGTCTTCCACAGCTGCGCATACACCCCAGCGAGATGTCAGCACCAGCTAACAGTGCTAGACAACCAACAAAGACAGCAGCAACAGCGAGGGCAGCAGTAGCAGCAGCCACCGCAGCAGCAGCAAACCTGTATGGTGGAGTCAACCCCAGCGGAGACGATCCGGTATTTGGTGCAGATCTTTGGCAGCTGATGTTTTTTGCTGCTCTTCTGCTGCTGGTCGTCAGGGGCAGGAATAAACAGCAGCTACAGGCAGTAGCACAACCGCAGCTCAGGTGTACAGGCACCTCTACAGTTAATCGTAAAGCCTCAAAAACCGCAGCAGCAGCAACAGCAGCCATAGCAACTAAGATGGTCCAGTAGCTGTATTAGTGTTGTTGTTGCTGCTGCTCTTGCTCCAGCTAGCAGCAGCAGTATCAGCAGCGAGACCAATAAGCAGCAGCAGCAGTAGCAGCATCGGCAGCAGCAGCACCTGCACAATGCGATTGCCATGTGCATGGTGTTCTGACGACCCCACAGTGACACCCATTGGATGCCTTGCTGCAGCAGGCGGCCGCTGAAGAGAAGGTCCGGTGTTGTGTCCTGCTGCTGCTGCTGCTGCTGCTGGAGCAGCTTGTGTCGTAGTTGCTGCTGCGCCAGATGTTGCGGCTTGTGTTGCTTGTGCTGCTTCCGTTCTCGCTGCTGCTGGTGTACGGCCAGATGCAGCAGCAGCAGCAGCAATACCTCCAGGAAGACGGGCGTCGCCTCCTCTGCTTGCTGCTGCTGCTCTTTGGGTGCCGGTACGGTCTGCTGCTGCTGCTGTTCTGTTGCTTCCTGGGCCACTTGCCGCAGCAGGAGGTCCAGTAGCAGTAGAGTGGTCCTGCTGCTGCTGCTGTTGCTGTTGCTGCTGTCCGCGGGCGTTAGTACTTGCTGCAGCCGGTGCGGGGTTTGCCGGGCTTGCTGATGCAGCAGGAGAAGCAGCAGCAGCAGCAGGGATAGTGAGACTAAGTAGAGGGTTCTCCGGTGCTGCTCTGCTTAAACAAAAGATCTGCTGTCTTGTTGCAGCAGAATAAACATAAATCTGCCTTCCTCTTCCTGCTGCAGCAAAAGCTTCACCATTGCTGCTGAAGGCGCAGCAAAGCAGCTGCTCTTGTCCAATAGAACTCCTCCATACTTCGGATATACTATACTGCAGCGTGGGAACTCCAGCAGCAGCAGCAGAACTAGCCATTCCTCCTCCTCCTGCTCCTCCTCTGGGAGCAGCAACACCCCCTGCTGCTGCTCCTCCTCCTCCTCTTGTGGGCCTAACTGGGATCGCCTCATCTACAAAGAAGGGGACGATCCCACGAGAGCCGTTGGCTGAGTCGGAGGAGGCACCATTGGTCTCTCTGGCTTCCCCGTGTTCACCAGCAGCAGCAGCAGGGGGAACATTAGCAGGAGCAGCATCTGCTGCAGCAGGTGTTGCAGTGACAAGACATTGCACGATTTCCCCTGCCCCTGTAGTAGCCAGCAGCAGCAACGAATACCCCTGCAGCAGACCTTCTTCTGAGTATAAAGGAGGAGCAGCAGAGACGGGACCCCACGCAACACACGTAACAGGAGAGAGTTGGTTGTCTCCACAAAGCTTCCTCTTCCCTACCCATCCTGACCAGGCAGCAGCAGCAGGAGAAGGGGCAGCAGCAGCAGCAGCGGCGGCAGCAGCAGCTACTGCTGCTGCTGGAGTAGGAGCACGAGGATGCAACCCCGAAGCATTAGGGACTGCTGCGAGACGCAGCAAACCGTCGCTGCAGCCGCAGGCAGCAACAGCTTTGCAGGGACCAATACGCAGGGAGACGATGCTGTAGCTATCACGAGGTTCAGCTACACCTGCTGCTGCTGCTGCAGCTGCAGCTGCTGCGGAGGGAGATGCAGCAGCGCGCTTCAGGGTACTCGGGTCTGGCTCGTCCGACCCGTACACAAATAGAGGAACTAGCCGCATCGCAGTAACAGGAGCAACAACAACAGCAGCAAACTCCGACTACAGCTAGAGCAGCACTACGAGGAGCAGCTAAACAGGATCTAAAGAAGAGACAACAGAAGCAAGAAGTCTACGTGACTGGCAGCAGCAGTAGCAGCCCTGTAAAATGTCTAAGAGTTACAGTATAAATGGAGGAATTTGTCTAGCAAAGTATGCAGTGTATATATATAGGCAGGTAATACAGCTCGTGCCTGCAGTGTGTTGTGTGTATAACTGCAGCAGCAGCAGAGCGCTGCCTCGCAGCGGCAGAAGACTAGCAGATAACTATAATATAATTAAAAGAAATCTAATCAAAAATTAGTAAATTAAAAGAAAATACGGAGGAAATAGCACGGAAAGGCAGCCCCTGTTGCAACGGAGGTCACCTGCTGCTGCTGCGAGGGCTGCTGCTGCTGCTCGCATTAACAGCAGCACGACAACCCAACGAGGTGTATTCTCTTCATTTTCTTCCGTGTTTAATTTGAATATATTTACTTCTTATCTGTTTCTTCTTCTCTATGGTCACTAGCAGTGCAGACTGCCAACCCTAAACCCTAAACCCTTATGGGAATTCTACAACTGAAGCAGATACCATCGGCAGAACGAGGCAGTAGACACTGCGGCTACAAGGATCTGCTGCAACACATCTGCTAGTACTTCTGCTATTGTTGCTGCTGCTATTGTTGCTGCTGCTATTGTTGCTGCTGCTACTGCTGCTATTGCTACCGTTGCAGCGTAGCCACCAATGTTTTCGAGGGTTTTACCGTATCATTAGCGATTATGTTTATACCCGTAATAAGAAACGACTTGTATAATCTTTTCTTATTAGGGAGAATATAAAAGAAAACACTTAACTATATTTACTAATAAACTATAAATATATATCTATAATTTATTTATAAACATTATCTCTCTTCATGCCAATATCTGCTGGTGCTGCTTCTTCTGTCCCCTCCCTGTCTTCTCCGTCCCCTCCATCTTGCTGCTGCTGCTGCTGCTGTCCTATTTTTTCATCTAAATTGTCTCCCTCAAAAGACCCTGCCTTACCCTAACAGCAAACCCTAAACACTAAACCCCATAGATGCTCCACCTTGCGGCATTAGACGAGAAGAGGAGAGGGTCTTAAATAAACTGGTGAAGAAGAGGCAGCAGCTACAGTAGCAGCTGCAGCAGCAACTGCTGCTGCTGCTGCTCCTGCTCAGCAGCAGCAAGTAATAAATGCCTCTCCCTCACCTTCCTAAACCCTAAACCCTTAACTGCACGGGCGTCCCTACGACCGCTGCTGCAAGCGAGCGAAGAATTGATGCTGGAGCTTCCTTTGTTCTGCTGCAGCAAGTGCCGCAACAGCAGCAGCTACTGCAGCAAGTGCAACCTCTGCAGAAGCTACTGCAGGAAGTACGCAACAAGTGACAGCAGCTGCTGCAGCACGTGCAACAGCAGCAGGAGGAGCAGCAGCAGCGCGCTGCTACTGACTAGCGGGACAACTGTTTATGTCTCATCGCGTGTGAAGCTCGAATAGTATCAGAGCAACAACAGCAGCAGCAAGCCTACAGCAGCAGCAGCTGCTGCTATTGATTGCCATTGCTATTCATTGCTGCTGCGGCTGCTGCTGCGGCTGCTGCTGCTGCTGGTTTATATGTCGGGTGTTATGCATTACTTTGAGAAGTTGCCTGCCTTATATGCCTCTTCGTCATAATAGCAGACATGAATCTGTCTTCCTCCAAACCAACGGCCATGCAGCTGCGGTGCTGCTGCTGCTGCTGCTGCTGCTGCACCGAATGCAACAAATATTCTTACGTCCCCATCAATAATTTCTACTCTTACAGCTAAAACTTCGCCAAAGCGACGGCACTCCTCCCGCATCTGAACACAAACATGATCAACATGCATGCATGCATGCTGCTGCTGTTGTTACTGTTGCTGTTGTTGTTGCTGTTGTGTGCTAATAGTTTCTTGTCCTTTTATTTTTATTAATAATAACTACAACAATGCGCTTATTCAATACATTCATGCACAGATGACGCAAGATGCAACACAACAACAGCAGCAGCAACAGCAGCACACACAATCCACTAGGGTCGGCTATATTACCATCCATACACCTTAGAAGTAGCAGCAGCAGAAGCAGCAATTAATATGTTTCCTACTTCTTCCTTTAAGTCATCGTCCACTTCTTCAGCAGAGACTGTATTTAGCAGCAGCAAGACGCTGCTGCTGCCTGGCTCGCCTGTTGGCTTCTCAGGGAATGGTGGTGCTGCTGCTGCAGGTGCTGCTGCTGCTGCTGGTGCGGCTGCTGCTGCACCTCCAGCGGCTGCATCACCTCCCCCGCTTTGCTGCTGCTGCTGCTGGTCTGGCTGCTGCTGCGCACCGGCAGGAGTTCCTGCCTGTGGCTGCTGGGTGCCTAGCGGTGTTTTGTTTGCTCCTGTGGCGCCTTGCAGCGCAGCCGCCGCAGCGCCGTCAGCAGCAGCAGCAGCAGCTGCTGCTGCTGCTGCATTTGCTGCTACAAGAGGAGCCATTTGTGCACCCATACCCACACCCAAGCTGCCAGCAACTGCAGCACTCCTTAATGCCGTTGCATAATTCACCTTCAGCTGTTTGCCTGAATACACAAAAACCCTAAACCCTAAACCCTAAACCCCAAAACCCTAAACTCTCGTCACTCAAAGAAATGCTGCCACCGATCCATTCTGAAGAGACTCGTTCTACATTCCCAAACCCTAAACCCTAAACCCCAAACACTAGATATGGTAAAACCCTAAACCCTAAACCCTAATGTATAGAAAAAAACTTACCTACGACCTCGAATCCATTCATGGTATCAATGGCTAATTTTGCTGCTGCTGGGGAAGCAAACTCAATAAAGCCATACCCCCTGTGCTGCTGAGGGTTTTCTTGCGAAGGAAGTAATTGGCAAGTTAATATAGAGCCAAAACAAACAAATATCTTCTGTAACATAGCAGCAGCAACAGCAACAGCAGCAGCAGCAGCAGGAACAGCAGTAATAGGAACACCAGCTAGACAGATAGGGCGAAAGGAAAGAAAGACAAAGATATAAGGAAACCACCACAAGAAGCAACAACAACAACAACAACAAACAACAAACAACAAACAACAAACAACAAACAACAAACAACAAACAACAAACAACAACAA